CCCAACATTACAGGAAAATAAAGGGTCCAGGGACTGTACCTCAACATTACAAGGTACATAATGGGCAGGGACTGACCCCAACATTTACAGAGGTACATAATGGGTCCAGGGACTGCACCTCAACATTTCAGGGGACAAAGGGCCAGGGGTGTACCCAACATTCAGAGGGCTAATGGGCCAGGGGGCTGTACCTCAAAAGTTCGAGGTAAATTTGGGTCCAGGGATGTACCCAACATTTCAGAGGTACATAAGGTCCGGGGGCGTACCTCAACATTACAGAGGTACTAATGGGTCCCGGGACTGTACCTCAAAATTACAGAGGTGCTAATGGGGGGCCCGGGACGTCCTAACATTACAGAGGTACATAAGGGGGTTTGGATGTACCTCAAATTCGAGGTACATTTTAAGGGGCAGGGACTGACCCCAAAATTACGAGGTACTAATGGGGCCAGGGACGTACCTCAACATTACGAGGTAATAAAGGGATTGGGGTTGTCCTCAACATTACAGAGGGACAAAAAGGGTCCAGGGACTGTCCTCAACATTACAGAGGTACATAAAGGGGGCCGGGATGCGCCTCAACATTACAGATGTACATAATGGTCCAGGAACTGTACCCCAATATATAGAGGTACAAAAAGGGTCCAGGGACTGTACCTCAACATTACGAGGTACATAATGGGGTTTAGGGACTGCACCTCAACATTTCAGAGGGAATAATAGGGCCAGGGACTGTACCTCAACATAACAGAGGTAATAATGGGTCCAGGGGTGTACCTCAACATTTTCAGTTTACATAAAGAGTCCCGGAAAGTACCCCAACATTACAGGGGACAAATGGTCCAGGGACTGACCTCAACATTACGAGGTACATAATGGGGCCCGGGGCTGTACCTTAACATTCAGAGGTACATAATGGTTCCCGGGACTGTACCTCAACATTACAGAGGTACTAATAGGTCCGGGACTGTACCTCAACTTACAGAGGTACTAATTGGTCCCCGGGGCTGTACCCAAATTACAGGGTACATAATGGGGCCAGGGTTGTACCTCAGCATTACAGGGGGTACAAAATGGGTCCCGGGGTTGTACCAACTAACAAGGTTTAATGAGTCCCCGGGGTTGTACCCAACATTTCAGAGGAAAAAAAGGGTCCCCGGGACTGTACCTTACATTACAGAGGTACATAAGTTTTGATAGCTGAACAGGTACAAGGTAAAGAACTCACAAGTTACAAAGGTAATGAATCACAAGTTACAAAAGGTAATGAATCACAAGTTACAAAAAGGTAATGAAATACAATTAAAAGGGAATGAACCACAGTTAAAAGGGAAAGAACTCACAGTTACGAAGTAATGAAAATCACAAGTTACAAAAAATGAACCACAAATTAAAAGGTAATGAATCGGTAAGTAAATTTTCTTTCTTCATACTAGTTCAATCAGGATAAATTATAGAGTAATGAACAATTTACACATCCACACCCAGTCACAATATGTGTTATTGGTGCAAAAATTAATTTTTTGGGTCTCTGTCTGTCTTGTCTGTTCTTTTGTCTCTCTGTCTGTCTGTCTCTTTTCCCCTGTCTGTCTCTGTCTGTCTCTCTGCTGTCTCTCTGTCTGTCTGTCTCTCTTTTGTCTGTTCCCCTGTCTGTCTTCTCTCTGTCTGTTCCTCTGTCTGTCTCTGTCTCTCTCGGGCTTTCTCTGTCTCTCTCTCTCTCTCTTCTTCTCTTCTCTTCCTCTCTCTCTCTTCTCTCTCTCTCTCTCTCTCTCTTCTCTCTCTCTCTCTCTCTCTCTCTTCTCCCACACACACACACACAACCCACACACCACCACACACACAACACACACACACACACACCACAACCCCAAAACACACACACACACACGGGGCCAGGAGCTGTGACTCGACCCCCACAGAATAATGATAATTATTATTATTATTACTAATGATAATATCATTAGTATTTTTAGTAATATTATTATTAGTGATACTGTAATATCATTAATGGTAATAATAATAATAATAATAATAATAATATCGCCTGTTTATACTGACCTTTTCGTGGTTGTAAGGGTCGAATCACAGCTCCTGGCCCTGACTGAGGGAGGCACCATGGTCTGTGGATTTGTTTCATTTATTATTATCATTATCATTATTATTATTATTATTATTATTATTATTATTGTGGCTGTGTAAGAGAAGTACAGAGAGAGAGAGAGAGAGAGAGAGAAGAGAGAGAGAGAGAGAGGGAGAGGGAGAGGGGAGAGAGAGGTAGAGAAAGAGAGAGGGTAGAAAGTAGTAGGAGAGAGAGAGGGTAGAGAGAGAGCTAGAGAGAGAAGAGAGAGAGAGAGAGGAGGAGAGAGAGAGAGAGAGAGAGAGAGGAGAGAGAGAGAGAGAAGAGAGAGAGAAGAAAAGAGGTAGAGAGAGGTAGAGAGAGAGAGAGAGAGAGAGAGAGAGAGAGGTAGAGAGAGAGAGAGAGAGAGAGAGAGGTAGAGAGAGAGAGAGAGAGAGAGAGAAATGCCAGCTGCTCTAAGCTACATCAATCACCAGCTGAGAGCTATATCAGCTTGGGGAAATAGATGGCAAGTAACATTTGCACCTGAGAAAACACAAATGATGATGGTCTCTAGGCACCATGATGGTAATGCCGGTGCAGTAGTAAGGATGAATGGGAGGGTGTTGGCACCTGGGGAAGAAGTTGATATCCTTGGGGTGAAATTTGACTCCAAACTGACCATGAAAAACCACGTTGTAAATCTTGCAAACAAGGCAGCCAGGAAGCTTACGGCACTTTGCCGTATTTCGTATCTGCTTGACAGCAGGTGTTGCAAGATTTTGTACAAGGCACAAGTACGCTCACATCTTGAGTATGCTCCACTTTCTTGGTTCGCCTGCCCTTCCCCTCCCATCTGCGACTGCTTGGCAGAGTAGAGAACAGAACAAGATGTCTCATCTCTCGTCTGGACCCATCTTGGATAGATCTGTCATTTCAGCAGAGCCTTCATCACAGGAGGGATGTGGGTGGCCTTACTGTTATGTACAAGGCCAATATTGTCAAAGTACCACACTTGGATCCACTTCAAGGACAGTGTGAAGCAAGCTTCTATACCACAAGGATGACTCAAGTATGGAACACATTCGTACAGTATTAAAATGTCAACGACAAAGTCAGTTGATCAGATGAAAATGCTGGCCCACAGATGGCTCCAACTTCATCCTGTTCCGTACTTGCATGTTTCATAACAATAAAAATGCTTTCAAATGAGCTGATGTAGGTAACAGCTCTTAGCTTGTCAATAAAGTTAGGAATCCTGTAAACAGCTTGTCAGTAAAGCTAGGGATCCTTAACCTAACCTTGTCAAACCCTGTGTAAAAAAAAAAAAAAGAGAGGGTATAGAGAGAGAGAGAGAGAGAGAGAGAGAGAGAGAGAGAGAGAGAGAGAGAGAGAGAGAGAGAGAGAGAGATAGTGAACTAGCTCCCTAAACAACCTTGACAGTAGAAAGAGAAAGTGAGCAAGGTTGAGCTAGCCTCGCTCATTGTAGGAAAAATTTACTGTGTTGCTCACACAGTGTGTGTGTTGCATGTGTTGCATACACACCTGTGTTGCCTGTGTTGCATACACACCTGTGTTGTATGTGTTACATACACACCTGTGTTGCATGTGTTGCACACAAGTGTGTTGTGGAGTATTGTGGTTGTGTTCTAGCTCTTGGAACACCAGGTCTGACTGTGTTAGACTAGGCCATATGGCCAACTAAGCCTATGCAATTGCTAGGCCTAGTGTGGACAGGTGTCCTCAGCGTTGAAATACATAGTCCATGGAACGGCTGGGGTTTGAACCCATGCCCTGAAAAAAAAAGCAAATTTCACAATCCATTTCGTGATTTGTTCGAAATCATGTTATTGCTAGGCCATATGTCTATGGAGGCCTATGAATTTGGTAGACCTATTGTGGCCAGGCGTCTTCAGTGTTGTAATAACCCATGGAACGGCTTTGGTTCAAACCACGAAAAGAATATTGCAGATTTCGCAGGTTGTGTGATTTTTTATTGCTGTTGTGTTATATGGCTGACTAGGCCTATGCAGCTTCCAGGCCTAGCTGCAGATAGGAGTCTTCAGTGTTTAAATAAGCCATGGAATGGCTTTGGTTTGAACTATGACAAGAAAATCACAAATTTTCACAGTTCATGTGATTTATATTACAATTGTTATTACTAGGCTATATGGATGACTACGCCTATGTAATTGGTAGATCTAGTGTGGACAGGTGTTCACAGTGTTGAAATAGCCCATGGAAAGATTAGAGTTCGAACCATGACAGAAAAATTGCAAATCGCACAGGTCATTTCATGATTCATTTGCAATCGTGTTGTGGCACCTTCGTGAGTGCTGCGTGTTGCCTTGCAAGAGGAAACCATGACCAGCAGGCCTTGCAAGACTCCCGGCTATTTTCTGCAACACAAGCAAGGCATTATGGAGAGTGTTGCAGAAGTGTTGCAGTGTTGCAAGGGTGTTCCAACACACTATTTCAATTATGTCAAGTTAATATTATGGATTGTGTTATTTTGTGTGAGTACAATAGGCCTATATTATTGTAATAGGCCTATATTATTATAATACTCTATTTGTACAGGTGCTCCTTGACTTACAGTAGTCAAAAATATCGTATTTTTTATTTACGATAATTTTGATTTACGAGAATTACAGTGTACAGAATGTACACTGCAGCCACACCATTGTAAAGTTGAAATATTGTAAGTTGAACCATTGTAAGTTAAGGACTGCCTCTATGTTGAATTGAGTACTGATTATTCCTTAGCCATGTTGCAACATATTTTTGTTGCATTTTGCAACCTAATTTCAATTTTATGTACCATTGTGCACCTCTGATCTCATTTTCCATTAATTGTGTTCTATTTTCTGGCAGATTATCTTTTTTTCTACTATATTGGACCTCTACTATCAATTTCTGCTAATAGTCCTCTATTTTCTGACAGGCATATGGCCAGCTGGAATTTCTGAAGATGAATGGTAGTGGAGATGGGGGGCATCGACTCCCCGGAGACTCGCTGTCCGATTACGGTGACGGACAGGTAGCCGAAGTGGCTTTCTCCAATCTCTATCCGGCCGTCATCGAGTGCTTCCTCATTATCCTGTGTGGGTAAGTGCCACACGCTACTGAGATGCTACAGAAACATGCAAGGCAACATTTCAGTCCATTTTGGACTATTAACTAGCTGCTAGCAACTAGTTTAGGGTCCTGGTGGGAGCAAAATGTCCCAGCATGTTTCTCTCTCCTGTGTGCGAGTTATACGTGTACTGTTCCAGTCATGATATTGTCAGTTTGTGTCTATAATAATTTGTATTTATAATAATTTGTATTATAATAATTTATAATAAATTCTGCTGGGTTTGGTGCTTAGTTATAATAATAATAATAATAATAATAATAATAATAATAATAATAATAATAATAATAATAATAATTGAGCACTTTATGACCCTTGTGGGTTTATTGCTATCATAATAATAATAATAATAATAATAATAATAATAATAATAATAATAATAATAATAATAATAATCATCATCATCATTCTTACAGGTATGTGGCTGGGCGCTGCAATTTAATATCACAGACGGAGTCTAAAGGCCTAAATACTTTCGTAGGCACGTTCTCGCTTCCCTCACTAATATTCGTGTCTATGGCACATTTGGATTTCAGGTAAATAGGCTTATAAATAGGCTAGGTTAATGTATTTGTTGAGGGGTTGTGTCTGAAAAGGATCTGTCTGGTATGGGCCAGTAGACTTACTGTTGCATTTCTCTTTATTGTGGCTGGACTTGAGTCCTGGAGGTCTAAAGTACAGTGCCTATACTCTGAAGGATGAATGAGGATGTTACAGTTTTGTACTCCTGATTTACAGCAACAGAGCTAGGCCTAAAAAAAAATGCAAATATGGTACACACATTATTTGCCTTAAAATATTTCATCGTTAGCTTACAGTGAGTGGTGAATATTGTAGCAAGTCTGAATACAAAAAGAATGGCTAGAATTGAAAACTGCTGTATTAGCGGAGTGCTGTAAAGTGAAGTGCTGTAAAGCAAAGTGCTTTAAAGTGAAGCACTGTGAAGCGAGGTGCTGTAAAGCAAAGCACTGTAAAGCAAAGTGCTGTAAAGTGAAGTGCTGTAAAGCAAAGTGCTTTAAAGTGAAGCACTGTCAAGTGAGGTGCTGTAAAGCAAAGCACTGTAAAGCAAAGTGCTGTAAAGTGAAGTGCTGTAAAGCTGAGTGCTGTAAAGCAAAGTGCTGTAAAACAAAGCACTGTAAAGCGAAGCTTTGTTAAGCAAATCGCTATAAAGTAAAGCACTGTAAAGCCGGCCTTTCTGTACACCTAAATAAGTTAATTTTAACAACATGGTAAATTCGTGTTCCTAATTTGTGTATTCTCTCCAGCTCGGTTAATTGGATGTTCCTCTTAGCCATCTGCATTTCAAAAGCCTGTGTGTTCTTCCTGGTGATCCTGGTGACCCTAATGGTGTACCGGCCAGTCGATTTCGGCAAGGCCGGCCTGTTCGCAATCTTCTGTACCCAGAGTAATGACTTCGCTCTGGGGTACCCCATAAGTGAGTATTTGAGTCATTTTGTGAAGAATTCGTGTGTATGAATGCAGTATATGCGTGGTCCTTGACCTAGTATGTGATTACGTTGTGACAAACGCATTGTAAGTTGGAAATGTCATAAGTTGAAAATATTGTAAGTTAAAAATATAAGTCACATATGATATGCTAAATCAGTAAGTCAATAAATAACTATTGTAAGTGAATAAGTCAATAAATAAATAATTACTGTAAGTAAATACCAGTATTGAAAAGTCAGTAAATGAATACAAGTTAGGGACGTACTGCCTTCATGCTGGGTAATTATCTCCAAAGTAATTGTTGCTGCACCATTGTGTAGTTGAAATATTGTAACTTGAACCTTTTTTTTTTTTTTTTTTCTTCAACAAGTCAACCGTCTCCCACCGAGGCAGGGTGACCCAATAAAGAAAGAAAATCCACAAAAAGAAAATACTTTCATCATCATTCAATACTTTCACCACACTCACACATTATCACTGTTTTTGCAGAGGTGCTCAGAACACAACAGTTTAGCAGCATATACGTATAGATACACAACATATCCCTCCAAACTGCCAATATCCCAACCCCCTCCTTTAAAGTGCAGGTTAATCATAGAATTGATGAAGGAAAAAAGGTGAGTGGTGGGTTGAGGTATATGTGGAGTCAAAAAACGTTATCTATGGAGGCAAAGAAGGGAATGTATGAAAGTATAGTAGTACCAACACTCTTATATGGGTGTGAAGCTTGGGTGGTAAATGCAGCAGCGAGGAGACGGTTGGAGGCAGTGGAGATGTCCTGTTTAAGGGCATTGTGTGGTGTAAATATTATGCAGAAAATTCGGAGTGTGGAAATTAGGAAAAGGTGTGGAGTTAATCAAAGTATTAGTCAGAGGGCAGAAGAGGGGTTGTTGAGGTGGTTTGGTCATTTAGAGAGAATGGATCAAAGTAAAATGACATGGAAAGCATATAAATCTATAGGGGAAGGAAGGCGGGGTAAGGGTCACCCTCGAAAGGGTTGGAGAGAGGGGGTAAAGGAGGTTTTGTGGGCGAGGGGCTTGGACTTCCTACAAGTGTGTGTGAGCGTGTTAGATAGGAGTGAATGGAGAAGAATGATACTTGGGACCTGACGATCTGTTGGAGTGTGAGCAGGGTAATATTTAGTGAAGGGATTCAGTATGTAGGAAAGAGGGAAATTTTTTCCCAGTAAAAGTAGGCCTTAGACAAGGATGTTGTGATGTCACCGTGGTTGTTTAATATATTCATAGATGGGGTTGTAAGAGAAGTAAATGTGAGGGTCTTGGCAAGAGGCGTGGAGTTAAAAGATAAAGAATCACACACAAAGTGGGAGTTGTCACAGCTGCTCTTTGCTGATGACACTGTGCTCTTGGGAGATTCTGAAGAGAAGTTGCAGAGATTGGTGGATGAATTTGGTTAGGGTGTGCAAAAGAAGAAAATTAAAGGTGAATACAGGAAAGAGTAAGGTTATGAGGATAACAAAAATATTAGGTGATGGAAGATTGTATATCAGATTGGAGGGAGAGAGTATGGAGGAGGTGAACGTATTCAGATATTTGGGAGTGGACGTGTCAGCGGATGGGTCTATGAAAGATGAGGTGAATCATAGAATTGATGAGGGAAAAAGAGTGAGTGGTTGCACTTAGGAGTCTGTGGAGACGGAGAACTTTGTCCTTGGAGGCAAAGAGGGGAATGTATGAGAGTATAGTTTTACCAACGCTCTTATATGGGTGTGAAACGTGGGTGATGAATGTTGCAGCGAGGAGAAGGCTGGAGGCAGTGGAGATGTCATGTCTGAGGGCAATGTGTGGTGTGAATATAATGCAGAGAATTCGTAGTTTGGAAGTTAGGAGGAGGTGCGGGATTACCAAAACTGTTGTCCAGAGGGCTGAGGAAGGGTTGTTGAGGTGGTTCGGACATGTAGAGAGAATGGAGCGAAACAGAATGACTTCAAGAGTGTATCAGTCTGTAGTGGAAGGAAGGCGGGGTAGGGGTCGGCCTAGGAAAGGTTGGAGGGAGGGGGTAAAGGAGGTTTTGTGTGTGAGGGGCTTGGACTTCCAGCAGGCATGCATGAGCGTGTTTGATAGGAGTGAATGGAGACAAATGGTTTTTAATACTTGACGTGCTGTTGGAGTGTGAGCAAAGTAACATTTATGAAGGGATTCAGGGAAACCGGCAGGCCGGACTTGAGTCCTGGAGATGGGAAGTACAGTGCCTGCACTCTGAAGGAGGGGTGTTAATGTTGCAGTTTAAAAACTGTAGTGTAAAGCACCCTTCTGGCAAGACAGTGATGGAGTGAATGATGGTGAAAGTTTTTCTTTTTCGGGCCACCCTGCCTTGGTGGGAATCGGCCAGTGTGATAATAAAAAAAAAATAAAAAATTCAGGGAAACCGGTTATTTTCATATAGTCGGACTTGAGTCCTGGAAATGGGAAGTTGAACCATTGTAAAGTTGAAATATTGTAAGTTGGACCATTGTAAAGTTGAAATATTGTAAGTTGGACCATTGTAAAGTTGAAATATTGTAAGTTGAACCATTGTAAAGTTGAAATATTGTAAGTTGAACCATTGTAAAGTTGAAATATTGTAAGTTGAACCATTGTAAAGTTGAAATATTGTAAGTTGAACCATTGTAAAGTTGAAATATTGTAAGTTGAACCCTAGGGTGAGTTGAGAACCACCTGTACATGAATAAACAGAGGCTAGACAAGAGACTCAAACTGTGGCCCCAAAAGTAACAGGTCTGTCCTTCACTTTATTCACTGACAGTCATTAATTACAATTTAATCTGAGTTGACTGTACTCACCTAGTTGTGGTTGCAGGGGTCAAGTCACAGCTCCTGGCCCTGCCTCTTCACTGGTCGCTACTAGACGGTGTACATACAACTGTGACTGGGCAGTTCCTGGCTAGTCACAGTATTGTTTTTTGCTAACAATCACTTGTTCGAGGATGCATTAATGTATGTATACATTAATGTACCAGCTGTATCCCACCGAGGACAGTAATATGCACTAAAATTCACTTTAATTTGCATTTGTATTTCATGGGGAAGTGGAACAGAATTCTTCCTCAATAAGCCATGCTTGTCGTAAGAGGCGACTAAAATGCCTTGAGGAAAAGGCTAGTAACCCCTTCTCCTGTATATATTACTAAATGTAAAAGGAGAAACTTTCGTTTTTCCTTTTGGGCCGCCCCCACCTCGGTGGGATACGGCAGGTGTGTTGAAAGAAGAAAGAATAATCGGCTTGGTACGTGATAATTATTTCATTATTTCTCTTACAGTTGCAGCACTGTACGGCAAGACTCACCCGGAGTTTGCACTGTATTTGTACCTGGTTGCGCCCATCTCCCTCGTTCTCCTCAACCCTATTGGCTTCATCCTCATGGAGGTACGTCACTATTAGCTTACTTGTACATTCTTCAGATTTATTCAGATTGAAATTTCATTTCTTTGTATAGAATATATAGTACACTAGTATCCCCCATATCCACAGGGGATGCTTTCCAAGACCTGCCAGGGATACCCGAAACCCTGGATAGTAGTGAAGAATATTTATGTCATTTTTGGTTTACATAGCTATGATAAAGTATAACTGATAAATCACACACAATAAGTGGAGAATTATCAGTTTTTCACTGATTGGAAGAATGTCACAACTTCTCTTAGACTTTGAACAACTCTCACCATCACTACTTTTGTCCCCTGTCATTATTATTAAACAAAATTAAGGCTTATTTTCAGGCTACAGTAAACTGTGGATAATTGAAACCCCGGATACCAGACCCACAGATACGAGGGTTCTACTGTACACATAATACAGTCTCTCCTCACTTGACGACAGAGTTCTGTTTCTAGGAGTATGTCAGTAAGCAAATTGGTGGTTCAACGAGGATCCACCCTTACTGATATTTCCAGGTTACTGTACTGCTAGTGGGTTTGTGTCATCCATCTTCACATATTGTTTTAATGTCACCTTTGCACCATATATGATCCTTCTTTCAACACACCGGCCGTATCCCACCGAGGCGGGGTGGCCCAAAAGGAAAAATGAAAGTTACCATATATAATATGTTTGGTATATTAAAAACAGAAGTAAGCATTAAAAAAAATAATAAGTCGTAAGTCTGAGCGGTCGTTAAGTGAGGAGTGCCTTTATACATGTAGTATACATGTTATAAAGTACAGCCTCACCTCACTTAGCGACGTACTCATTTACCGACCACTTCATTCATTCATTAGAGGTTCGCCGGTACTTCCGGCCCGGGTCTTCTCCATATGGTGACCCGGCTGACCAACCACTTGGACTTATGACCGCTGTCCAACTAGTATGCAAACCTAAGTAATGTATATAAGTAATTAAGTAAGTAAGCTGAATATCTCCGTTCTGTTTATTACAATATACAGTACACTATAAGCATTTAAAAATATACTAAAAATGTTATAAAAGATAGAAAGGTGACATTAAAACAATATCAAATATAGCTGACACAAACCCACTACCATCATAGTATGTTCCTCACTTAACAGGGGCTCTGGTGGCCTGGTGGTTAACGCTCTCGCTTCACACGGTGAGGGCCTGGGTTCGATTCCCAGCCAGAGTAGAAACATTGGACGTGTTTCTTTCCACCTGTTGTCTATGTTCCCCATCAGTAAAATGGGTACCTGGGTGTTAGTCGACTGGTGTGGGTCGCATCCTGGGACACTGACCTAAGGAGGCCTGGTCACAGACCGGGCCGCGGGGGCGTTGACCCCCGGAACTCTCTCCAGATAAACTCCAGATAACGATCAGTTCGCTTACCAACCTACTCTTAGAAATGGAACCCCCATCGTTAAGTGTGGAGAGGCTGTATTCATAAGCACATAAATAGCCACTAACAGACTAATCCTCCATTATTATAGTAATATCTTCTTTCCCAAACACACGTCTCTTGCATAACTTCCCATACATTTCCTTTCCTTATTATTCTAATTTAGAAAATGTAGTGCATTCAGTCTTTAGAATACTGAACATGTCCACTAATGACCCACATGAGGACAAACTCAGAAGATTAAGTTAGGTGTCCCACAGAGTGGTATCTTCGGTCTTCTTCCATTTCAGTGACTGAATGATGACAAGTATTATAAACTAGTATATAGGTATAAATGGTAGTGTAAGCATTAGGATGAGTCTGCCTGAAATACTCAGGCATGTTAGTGATTTTCTTTGTGCTTAACAATTTATAGAATGTAAATTACACATGTAACCTTTGCAAAGAAATAAAAATTGAATAGAATTGAACAAATAACCAGCACACAGCAGATTAAGATAAAAATTCTTTATCTCAGCATGATACAATGTTTGTACAAAGGTGAATGACATTTGGGTGAATGTGCAGGAAGCCCCGTAATATGCAGAGCATTTCCTGCAGACTTGTGACTAACTCAGTAATAATAATACTAGTAATACAGTGGACCGCCGCTTTATGATCAGCTCCCAATGCGACCAATTATGAAAGTGTATTTATGTAAGTGCGTTTGTACGTGGTATAAACCTTGGTAATAAATACCGACAAGTTGGTTTAGAAAGACACGTAAGCAAACACTATAACATATTTATTAGAAAACGTTTCGGTCCTGGGACCTTGATCACTTCTAACATACAGAGGTAGAAAGACATTATATATATAGGCGGAGAGTGAGATGTGACGCACGTGACCTGAGGAATGTCATAAGAACATAAGAATGTACGTGTATGTTTGGGGGTCTGAAATGGACTAATCTAATTCACAATATTCCTTATGGGAACAAATTCAGTCAGTACTGGCACCTGAACATACTTCTGGAATGAAATAATATCGTAAACCGGGGGTCCACTGTATCTTGATTTCTGCTAGGTAGTAGGTTGGTAGACAACCACTCAGGGAGGTACTACCATCCTGTGGTAGTAGGTTGGTAGACAACCACTCAGGGAGGTACTACCATCCTGTGGTAGTAGGTTGGTAGACAACCACTCAGGGAGGTACTACCGTCCTGTGGTAGTAGGTTGGTAGACAACAACCACCCAGGAAGGTACTACCATCCTGTGGTAGTAGGTTGGTAGACAACAACCACCCAGGGAGGTACTACCATCCTGTGGTAGTAGGTTGGTAGACAACCACTCAGGGAGGTACTACCATCCTGTGGTAGTAGGTTGGTAGACAACCACTCAGGGAGGTACTACCGTCCTGTGGTAGTAGGTTGGTAGACAACAACCACCCAGGAAGGTACTACCATCCTGTGGTAGTAGGTTGGTAGACAACAACCACCCAGGGAGGTACTACCATCCTGTGGTAGTAGGTTGGTAGACAACCACTCAGGGAGGTACTACCATCCTGTGGTAGTAGGTTGGTAGACAACCACTCAGGGAGGTACTACCATCCTGTGGTAGTAGGTTGGTAGACAGCAATCACTCAGGGAGGTACTACCATCCTGTGGTAGTAGGTTGGTAGACAGCAATCACTCAGGGAGGTACTACCATCCTGTGGTAGTAGGTTGGTAGACAGCAATCACTCAAAGAGGTACTACCATCCTGTGGTAGTAGGTTGGTAGACAGCAATCACTCAGGGAGGTACTACCATCCTGTGGTAGTAGGTTGGTAGACATAAACCACCCAGGGAGGTAATACCGTCCTGTGGTAGTAGGTTGGTAGACAGCAATCACTCAGGGAGGTACTACCATCCTGTGGTAGTAGGTTGGTAGACATAAACCACCCAGGGAGGTAATACTGTCCTGTGGTAGTAGGTTGGTAGACAACAACCACCCAGGGAGGTACTACCATCCTGTGGTAGTAGGTTGGTAGACAACAACCACCCAGGGAGGTACTACCATCCTGTGGTAGTAGGTTGGTAGACAACAACCACCCAGGGAGGTACTCCTGTCCTGTGGTAGTAGGTTGGTAGACAACAACCACCCAGGGAGGTACTACCATCCTGTGGTAGTAGGTTGGTAGACAGCAACCACCCAGGGAGGTACTACAATCCTGTGGTAGTAGGTTGGTAGACAACAACCACCCAGGGAGGTACTACCATCCTGTGGTAGTAGGTTGGTAGACAACAACCACCCAGGGAGGTACTCCTGTCCTGTGGTAGTAGGTTGGTAGACAACAACCACCCAGGGAGGTACTACCATCCTGTGGTAGTAGGTTGGTAGACAGCAACCACCCAGGGAGGTACTACAATCCTGTGGTAGTAGGTTGGTAGACAACAACCACCCAGGGAGGTACAACCATCCTGTCGTAGTAGGTTGGTAGACAGCAACCACCCAGGGAGGTACTACCATCCTGTGGTAGTAGATTGGTAGACAACAACCACCCAGGGAGGTACTACCGTCCTGTGGTAGTAGGTTGGTAGACAACAACCACCCAGGGAGGTACTACCATCCTGTGGTAGTAGGTTGGTAGACAGCAACCACCCAGGGAGGCACTACCATCCTGTGGTAGTAGGTTGGTAGACAACAACCACCCAGGGAGGTACTACCATCCTGTGGTAGTAGGTTGGTAGACAGCAACCACCCAGGGAAGTACTACCATCCTGTGGTAGTAGGTTGGTAGACAACAACCACCCAGGGAGGTACTACCATCCTGTCGTAGTAGGTTGGTAAACGGCAACCACCCAGGGAGGTACTACCATCCTGTGGTAGTAGATTGGTAGACAACAACCACCCAGGGAGGTACTACCGTCCTGTGGTAGTAGGTTGGTAGACAACAACCACCCAGGGAGGTACTACCATCCTGTGGTAGTAGGTTGGTAGACAGCATCCACCCAGGGAGGCACTACCATCCTGTGGTAGTAGGTTGGTAGACAACCACCCAGGGAGGTACTACCATCCTGTGGTAGTAGGTTGGTAGACAGCAACCACCCAGGGAGGTACTACCATCCTGTGGTAGTAGGTTGGTAGACAACAACCACCCAGGGAGGTATTACCATCCTGTGGTAGTAGGTTGGTAGACAAAAACCACCCAGGGAGGTACTACTGTCCTCTGGTAGTAGGTTGGTAGACAACAACCACCCAGGGAGGTACTACTATCCTGTGGTAGTAGGTTGGTAGACAACAACCACCCAGGAAGGTACTACCATCCTGTGGTAGTAGGTTGGTTGACAGCAACCACCCAGGGAGGTACTACCATCCTGTGATAGTAGGTTGGTATACAACAACCACCCAGAGAGGTACTACCATCCTGTGGTAGTAGGTTGGTAGACAACAACCACCCAGGGAGGTACTACCATCCTGTGGTAGTAGGTTGGTAGACAACAACCACCCAGGGAGGTATTACTGTCCTGTGGTAGTAGGTTGGTAGACACAACCACCCAGGGAGGTACTACCATCCTGTGGTAGTAGGTTGGTAGACAACCACCCAGGGAGGTACTACCA